TCGGAGGTACCTAGAGACTGGCGGCTTTGTTCGTCGCCAAGGAAGGCCACGATCTCGGGTCACAACTGAAAGGCAGGATCGATTAATCGTGACGACCAGCTTGAGAAATCGTCACCTTACTTCCATTGAGATACAAAAACAAATTCGCGACTTTCCACGGAGTATCTGTGAGCGCTCGAACTGTTCAGAGAAGGTTAAAAGAACGCGATATGGTACCACACAAGCCAGCTAATGGGCCCAAACTAACGCGAGCCCACCGAACAGCGCGCCTTCATTTCGCACGCAGTCATTTAAATTGGACACAGCAAGATTGGCGCCGTGTACTCTTTTCTGATGAGTCTAAAATTGTGTTACATGGCAATGATGGAAGGAAGAAGGTCTACCGACGTAAGGGAGAGCGTTTCGCACAATGCTGCTTTGAAGAGAGGGTTGCTTATGGTGGTGGCTCATGGACTGTCTGGGGCGGTATATCCGCGAGCGGCAAAACTCAACTTGAGGTTGTTACAGGACCACGGCTGCCAACATTAAATGCTGAAAGGTACATTCGTGAGTGCTTAGAACCTCACGTGATACCATACGCGGACTATGTGGGCCCAAATTTCCTTTTTATGCATGATAATGCAAGAGCCCATGCGGCTGGCATCGTCAGGGAATATCTTCGGGATGTGAACATCACAGTTATGGACTGGCCAGCCAGAAGCCCAGACATGAACCCCATTGAGCACATGTGGGACGAGCTAAAAAGACGTGTGAGGGCTCGTCAGCCAGTTGCCCAGACGATACAGGAGTTGAAAACTGCCATAGAAGAGGAATGGGAGATGATCCCTCAAAATTTCATAGAGCGGTTGATAAACTCTATGCCTAATCGTATGAGAGCTGTGGTAGATGCCCATGGAGGCAACACGCGTTATTAAATTAAACCTTTATTTGATAAAACATGTATTCAAAAATCAATTGCCTTTAACAAGGCGCATATCCGACTTGTTAGGCGTAGCTCCATGTCGTATGGTATTCTGAATTCAAATTTAAAACAATACGATCGAAAAATATGGTAAAATGTATCAGGTTTAAAACTGCATCAACAGTTTTTGTTCAATCTAGCAATCATATTTCGGTAGGGGCCATCGAAACCTAAACTCTAAGGTGGGCCAATAGATGTGTCCAGAAGTGTATTATTACATATTGATTTTCCTAACAAAACGTTAAATACATTATTAATTGATGTTTTTATGGCATGTCAACTACAGAAAGTCTGATAATGGTGTCGATTCTGGCGTGATTCTCTAAACTTAAAACTAACTTAACATCAGTCTCTCTTTTTCATTCTGTATAGAGAATGACAAGGAAACACTGTTGTCAAATTTAAGTTTAGATTTAGAGAATCGTGCCAGAATCGACACCATTATCAATAAAAAATATTCAATTATCGTCTTCGAGATTTATTTTATTTATGATAATTAACATGGATTCTTTTCATGAACTTTTTTTTATTCAACTATAGTTTTATTTCAACGGCAATTTGTATGAATTTTGTTGCCTTTCCTATTAGTCTAGTCAAATTACGGAAAAAAAGGGCTAAAAAAACATGAGCGAGCACAGTTTGGGGATTTTGAGGATCGATAGGGGGGTGCATCCTGAGCTTAAGTTCCAATTTGAGGGGCTGTACTGAGGTCAGCTCAAGGTCATTTCGATGCAAACGCGTTTAATTCGATATCTCGAGAAATATCAGTGTTAGCCAAAAAATTATAGAGACCTTTTTTCTTCTAAATGAAATTTATTACATTTAGTTAAAAAAAGCATCTAATAGGGTATTTGACAAGTTTTAGAAAACAATCTCACGTTATTGACTAATGTTTATGGAGTCCGTAAAAAGTGGATATTCATCATTCTGTTTTGAATTTCAGTAAAATAACCAAATCAAAAACTCCGTTTACAAGTTGCCGCGAAAACGTTTCTCTGGACAATATGGCGTCTCACTGGTGTGTGACGTCACACGACTGTTATTTAAACGTCAAACGATACAATGTAATGTCACTTTAACCGGAAGTTTACTTGCGTGTGACGTCATTTCAGGCTCCCAAGCGTTTTGGGTCACGTGACAATAGATAAGAAAACTATCTTTTTCGTGGGTTTTTAGTAAAATTATGAATATTTTTTCTGTAAAAATAGTGAAAATCCCTGCCAATATTCATTCTAAACACTGATGCTAACAATTGGCACTTTATATTAAATACTGTCAAATACCCTATTATATAAAATCCTTGTAAATATAATCATTCCTTTCACATATAAGGAAAGATAAATTATTTCAAAATCAAATTCAATTAAGAAAAACTCAATCCGTGCTGAACATTCCCCTCTTTCAAAGTATCATTTTCCATTACTCTGGTCAACAAACTAACTCTATCAGACCGAAGTCTAAGTATAATATTACCATGTCTAAGTCGAGATTACTACTACTAAGAACTAAAATTTAAAAACTTCACAATACTGCTTCATCACATCACACACCTTGGTCGATGGATAAAGCAGCCTTTGGAGTAGAGTAATATTGACTCGATGACTCACACTCTTGTTACCCTTGTAGATTAAAGAAGTTTGTAAATACTAGATAATTCATCAGGCCATATATTAGATTGAGAATACTTTACCCAAAGCTCCGAAAAAAAGGCAGTTGCAAATAAAATTAACTACACATTTCTTTTTTCAAACGTGCGAAAATTACAAAGTGAATGCTGCAAAGGAGACAATTAATTGGAACTCCTCTACCACTTTAGGGATTTCGTGAGCAACGCTTATTAAAATAGGTATTTGAAAAAGATAAGTAGGTAAGTACTTATGAAATAATGGATTTTTCAAAGTAAATGAAAAAGATCAGAAAATCGATTTCAAAAATTTATACATAGAAAATCGTGAATAGTAAAGCATGTTGAATTGAAAAGACAAACAGTAATAAATTGGATTAGTTTTCATTAAAACCATCAGTTTTTCTATTAATAAAAACTTGACCATACGAAGAGTTACCTAATACATTATAACGACTTGTTGATATGTGAACATCAAGCGGTGTAAACAGACACTCGCAACGTACTTTTTAACATTGTTTTCATGTAAAAAAAATATCGTAAAACCCTTGTCACAGGCAACGTTTATCTATAAAGTAACGGTGTTTTATTTCTGATAACATTTTGTGTTGTAGATACGGCCTATCATGATTAAGAGAACGATATAAAATAATAATGGCGCACGTGTGTCTCGGCATGATGTTTACACGATCAGATAGTTAAAAAAGAAAATCAAAATCTTGTGAATATTATGTTTTGAGGGTACTTTTCGTATCACTCACGTCACGATGTTTTTTTTCCTGTACCCCAAGCACGAAGAACTAGCGAGAAAGTATTCGTATCGCTTTATCAAAATTTCTGTGGAAAAAGCTTGATTGTTCTTACGTCAGGTCGGGGCGCTGCTTAATTTCCATAGAAACTTGGACGTTGGCGATATTAATACGGATCTGTCAAAGTTCATGCTTGGGGTACTGATCCCCATTCACTACCCCGTGGATCCCTGGAAGACTCACTCAATGCAAGAAAACAACACTAGGGATAGCGTTCCTATTCTAGCTAAAATCCGTCAAGTCCAAATTCTTATACTTACTTAAAAAGATATGTCATGTAATGATCCAATGACGTTAGAACTACACTAAACGAGGTAAGGTATTCTAATTCAATGAAAAATCGTTCACATATGTAAGAAATGATACCTTCGTCTCCAAAGAAAATTATCGGCCGACACACTACGCCTGCTTTTGAGCCAAACGCTTTTAATACCGGCAGCGGCGACTGGTAAACTGTCCCTCCTGAGACGAAAGCGTACCGACTTCGGGGATAAAGTTCGCGGGGATTCCCCACCATCTTCTTGTCCGTCGTTTGTACTGTCCTCTTTCATTCTTTCGAATGTCCCACAAGTCCATAACTAACTTAACAAAATTCGAACACTCATTCAAGTACAAACGGTTTACCGACAATACTTGGCAATTTTAAAGTTTAAATTGTTGATTTCTAAGATTTAAATTTTCACTGCGCACTCTTATTATAAAAACTGTAATAACGAAGTATCAATACTATTAAGTTTTTTTTAAACAATTTAACAGTTACACCTTGTTATGTCTAGAGGTAGACGAAATTAACTGAGCACCACAGTAATTTGTTACTGTTGCAATCTAGTCGTACTTATTTGTGCTACTTAAACGATACCAGATACGCTAGAGAGTGTGTAAATAAATTCAGCAATTATCAGAAACTGCAAATATAGTACGTTGTGTGTGATTAACTACGAACATTTAGTATGATAATGGTGTCGATTCTGGCATGATTCTCTAAACCTAAATTTTACTGCAGTGTATCCCTGTCATTTTAATACAGAATGAAAAGGAGAGACTGATGTTAAATTTCGTTTTAAGTTCAGATGATCATGTCAAGGATCGGTACCATTATGTGATTACCCAAGTTAAGACCTAATGTCAGAAAATAAAATACTTAAAAAGGATAATGCTTAAAAATCGAATAAGTTTGGAAGAGAGTTAGTTAAACATGTCATAAAAGGCACGGAGCAAATTAAGATCTCATATTTACGGCCTAGATCATCCCCTTATTAAATCGTTTGATTTTTTAAATAATCAGATCGAAGCTCATGCCTCGAACAGCTGAGGCTAAACTAGCTACCTATGAGTCCATGTAGCCTAGCTATGGGAGGCAGGAGCCGCTAGAAAAGTCTCTGCCAAAACTAGTATACGAGTTACATGCAAATTAAAAATTAATTTCAAAATTAGTCTTATTTAAAAATACTTAGCTACGCCAATGGCTGCAGGTAAAATACGGTTCATCCATCAAGCTAAAGCCTGAGCATGATTCAAAGTTTAGACATAGAGAATGGACTGAGCGATCCCTGTTTAACTGTTGGACATCAATAGGCTAATGATATAATTAAAGGTCACTCAGGACTCACTGGCTCGGGAAGGCGGGTGTGGGCACGCGCAGGTGGTGTCCCCGGCGCGGGCGCTCCGCGTCGCTGCCGTCGCTCGCCTCCTCGCAAGCAACGCTGCCCGAGCCCGACCCGCCCGCCGACCTGCGACGATTAAGTAGACCAGCTTATTGATATAATATTAGTACAGTTTTCAACAACACAGCAATCATTAATTTTATAATTCACGCCTAAGAGCGACTTTCCATCTAAGAGCGACTTTCTCTGTATTTTTACTTTTTCTTGGCGTTCTTTATACCCGATAAAAATGGTTTATTAAATTAATGCCCTGTTGTACCGAATGCACCATTGAATTGCACCATTAATGATGCAGATGTTTTTTTTCAATTGACCAAGCAAGTATCGTGCGATTCCAACACAGATGGTTAGCGCAAGTCGCGGCGAAGTAAACATAATATTTTACCTACGTGTTCGATGTTTCCCTAAACATTACCCTTAGCACGAACCAATATCGAATTCGAATAGTTTGACAATGACATTTCGCATTGGTTCATGCTAAGGGTACAGTAACCCGACTTTGACAGATCCGTATTCGTATCGCCATCGTCTTAGTTTCTTTTGGATCTTAGAAAAGCCCCCTAAATACCTGACGTAAAACGTAAACTAACTCCTTCCATAGAAAGTTTGACGATGGAGATACTAATAGTCGTTAGCGATCGGGATACTAAGCCTAAGCACAAATTTTGCCAGCTTCGTAATCGTATCGCTTCGTCAAAGTTTCTATGAAAACAAAGCAGTGCCCCTACCGGAAGTAAGAACAAACTGGCTCCTTCCATACAAAATTTGAAGATGACGATACCATTACGGTTTTGTCAAAGTTCTTGCTCGGAGTGCTGATTGCTAACTTCACTGTTACCATAAATTTCGCATCGCAATATGTTATATAATGTTATGAAAATCTATTTGTTTTTAGTTTAATTTATATTTATAAACACAAAATGACAGATAGAAAGGAGATGGTTCAAAAGTGGCAGTCGCCTTTTCCGGGAGCTACGAAATATATGTCATTTGAAAGCTCGTTTTACATTACAAAATGAACAGATACTTTTAATTTTTAATTTATCTCCGATCATTTTTAAATCGTGCTTAGTCATAATTAACGTCATATTTTTAGTGCGTGGCAGCTGGCAGCTTGTAACGTCTACTTAATCACTATGGCAAATGTCAATAAGTTCAATCATGCACTATAATCGTGAAATAGTGGTTATATCAATTATTATTGAAATAAAATACCCAGAAAATACCTAATATAATGAAAGTTGGACAGAATCATTATCACTGCTTTAGTTACCTATTGAACAGAATATATTTGATGTTTTGGCAACAACAAATAGATAAATAAACTTGCCATTTGCCAATAAATAATTATGTAATTTTATAATACTTATAAGAATTATTTAAAAAAATATTTCTAGCTTTTTGCCAAACGATTTATAATGTAGTGCCTTACGTGTCACAAAAATTTTGAGTCTCCCGAAGACTGACTAGGTATCACCTTTTATTCAAATTTGAACCGTGTCCTTTATCCACTTTATTTTATTCTTATGTCATCATTTAAAGAGACTAAATAAGACAGAGGATGAATCAAAATTAATTACTCACCCATTTTTCTCTTTCTATCTCATAAGAGAACAAAAATGAGCAAAGATTCAACAAAGAAGTTGAACAAAAGAATGTTTAATAAAATTTCTTTATTCAAGCTGATCCTAAGTAAACTGTCTGTGTTTATAGATGAAAAAACTTTTCCATTAAATTCTTTACATTTAATACAGATTACTGAAGAAAGGATTTCTTCATTATTTTTATGAGCAATCACCTCTACTTATGTATGTATATAATTACGAAATTTTTATGATATAATCTCGAATTTATTATCTAATAAGTAAAGACATATCGAAGGTATCTAATTCAGTTTAGTTACTCATAATTTTATTACAAAGTTTTTATTTTCCTTCTGAAAGGAATAGATAAGTACTCATAGTGGTTGACTGGTAGATAATGCCTATAGCATTAAGTCCACCGTTTGCTTATGTTTAGCAATAATAAATAAGTACATATTTACCGTTTCTTCTATATACGTAGTATTCAATTTTTAGTAATAGGCACAGGCACATTTTTAGTAATAAATGGGACGGGTTTTTCAGCTAATTTAATAATGTGTAAAACAAAGCACGGATAAGTAAAAGATATCAAAAATATTTATTTATAAGACGCTTATTACAATGCGTGTACTGTGAATTTATTTTGATGCTATTTACAATCGAAAAATACAAACCCATTTAAAAAAGATATAAAAAGAAACATTTCACATTACAGCTCCATATAGCTCGTGCAAAGCTTAGCTTATAAGAAATAGCCATACATCATGAAGCTGTAACTAGCAGACATTGCAGCACATTTAGCAGCGATTTAAAAGTAAATGAAAGTAATCAAGTGGTTTTTACGAGGTATTTTCAAGGTAAAATTTGCGAAAAAAGCGTTTTAAGCTATTTTTACGTACGGATACGTTTCCACATGAAAAATCGCTTAAATTGATGATTTTTCATAAAATAGACTTAGGTACACTCGTGACAACTACTTAATTTCAATAACAACAGCTTTATTTTCAAATATCAATGTCAAATTTTGTATGGAAACTTGAACAGCAGCGGCACAAAGTACGCAACGAGAACTAAAAATCAGTACACATTTGACAGTGACATTCCGGACTGGCAAACGATACTAATTCGATATTGGTTCGTGCTCGGGGTACAGTACCCTACTGTGCCGCTACTATGGTACTGTGACGGTTCCGCTGCTGGATGTGTTTGCTACAATGGTGTCGATTCTAGCATAATTCTCTAAACCTAAACTTAAATTTGACAGCAGTATATCCTTGTCATTCTCTATACAGAATGAAAAGGAGAGACTGATGTTAAATTTAGTTTTAAGTTTAGAGAATCACGCCAGAATTGGCACCAGTGTCTTCTTGTTTTAGCCATGTTTCAGCTTCTGGATGAAGAATAAATATGAATACATCGGTAAGGAACTTTACAGGAGAAATTGTCAGCAATACTTCTTTAACGTAAAAAAAATAGGTAGCAATACAATTAGCAAACGAAATCTTGAACTACAAAAACACAAAGTTAAATACAAATTGCATCCTAAGTGATGCAGGAAAAAAATGTTTCACTGGATAATCAAAATGGATTAAATTTAAAAAACCGGCCAAGAACGTGTCGAGCCACACGCAGTGTAGGGTTCCGTAGTTGCCTGTCGTTACCACTAAATATTTGGGCAGGAGTCTTTATTTTCTGTATTTTAAAATTTGTTTTTCAATGCAAGGTTTTTCGCTACAATAAATTCACACTATTATTGTTTTCTTCTTAGGAATTTTCAATATGTAAGAAATTTTCTCTAACCAAAGTTGAACGACTATTACTCTTAAACTAAAATATCTATCTTAAATGTTATTATTTTCCTTAAAAGTAAAAAGTAAAAAGAACTGTTATCATGAATTTTCCCAGGTTTTTTCAAGAGGATAGTTTAGGTTTTAGAGGGGCGGACTTCCTACTCGAACAATAATTAACATTTTAAAGTTCAATATATGGCAAACGGATCCCTAAATCGAAAAATAGTCTTAGGAACCACTAAGTCATTTTAAAGGACCTACTCAGCGATACCACAAACGATTGGGTAGACGATGAAAAAAAAATCATGCGTCAATATACTCGTACATATCTCCACAAAATTACAGATCTCTAGTGCTAACAGTCTCCAAGCAAAAGCGGGGACGAAACTATAAGGGTTCCTTGTCAGGACTACGGAACCCTTAAACGTAATAGGGAAAGATTAACACAAAATATTTTTTAATAGATTTTTTTTTTCTTTTTAACATTTAAATTCATGTGCCTAGTTATGATTCCTTAGTAACAATTATTGGATCATTTTATGAAATTCCAAATAACTTTTTAACACGAAAACTATTTTTATGTATGGCGTATTTACTCATCACCTATTTTAATTCATGCGACTTTTTGCTTAGAAACTAGAAAACATTCATCATGTACAGAAAAAATTGCCACAGCGGGTGCCAAAAAAACACCTAATGAAGTGCAAACACAAATTCAATACATGCACAATTTGATTTAAAAATATTTTAAATGCACTTCATTTGCTAGTAGGTACCTTGGCTTTGGCATTACAAGCTCTAATGTTGCAAGCGGGAGCAAAGTCTCGATATTATTTATTTTTATAGGGTTCGCACGCCATGCCGCTAACCTAGAAACAACAATGCATAATGTACTTTTTATACTTAAGCATGGAATGGTACTTAATTACATACTTAAAATGTTCGGGTATTACAAATTTTCGGATTCTTTTCAAGAAAAACACAGCCAAAGTATGTTTTGGTAGAAAAAAAAACTGTTAACTCTTCTTCTAATCTATTTATAACTAGTTTCTTTTTAACAATGGAATGTAGAAGTTGGATTCATTTAAAAACATGCATACAAAGTAATTGAAAGTAAATTAAATTTCAGTAAGACGTATCAGAATTTCTGCTCGAATTTCAACGCCTTTCTGGGGAAGTTGCCATCTTAGTACAGAAGACCACAAGTAAAATAAGTTAACAAAAGATATTTTGGCAGTCTTGTGTTTTTTTGTTTGTAGAGTAAGGTTTCCACAAGGCAGAGAATTGGTTACAGGCCAGCAATGTAGGACTTGCGGTATGAGTAGCAAAGAAGCTAAGAAGTGGTCCCAGAGGAGGACCCCCAAGAACTCAGACTCTGAAGACTAGGAAGACGACGGAGAGAATACACCAGAGCGTTAATGCCCTAAAAATGGGGTTGTCTCTCCGACGACAGCCGATGGAGAAGTGTGGTGGAGACGAACGGAAAACCGTGACCAAGGTGGGTTCGGATATGGACGGACGTAGTTATGACTTGTGGAATTTCGAAGACGTGGGCTGGCTGTTAAGAGCTATTCTAAGAGTTCGCAGTTAACTATAAAACATATTGTAACTATATATCTATATGCTAAATGATGTAATGGAAGGTGACTTTAGAAGTATCTCTGAAGTCATTTTTCAACTTGACGACTCTGTA